GTGCATGAGCCATCTAGTTACATAAGCCATAGTTATATCTGTTACACTATTCCAGTGTGGCTTAGGTGAGATTATCTTGGAAGATATAACTGATGTAAAATGTGATATTAAGCTATTAAATTTAACTCCCAATGGAGTTAAAATCTGTCCCTTACAGATATATTTTTGACTTTCAATGTATACAGAAAGACCACTTGCTTTTTGCTTCAATTATCATTTATTCTTTCACTTACTATAAGCTGAAGACCACAGAGTTCAAAATGGCTCTGAGTGATTTGCAACAAACAACAAAAGCATTAAAATAAAATCATAGTATTTGAAACAACATTTCCTAATAGCTCAATCCTCTTTGTTCTCAGATGAGGACTATCTCTTCAAAGTCTTTGGAAACACAACAATGGGGGAACAGTCTAGATATCAGGGAACAACTGGTTCCATGGGAGAAAAGCCATCACTCTGAAGGCTTGGCTGATTCTATAGATGACATTTACCTTGGAGAAAATTCAAAGTGAGGAGGTACTTTGGTTAAAGAAGACATTATTTGGTGCAGGTAAAATGCACCAAAATTTGTCCTCAAAATTTCTGCAAAAAGGACAATAAATCCAGATAAGCAATGGCTACTTTCAGATAAGATTTAAAAATAAAGGAGTTCATAACAGATAGAACACTTTACCTTGAGAATACTTCAGTAAGTTTTACAAAGCCAGCATAAGCTAGCTCAAATGCTCCTCTATGTCTTGACTTTAAGAGATGATTCTTGAAATATTCCCCAATATCTTTTACCTGGCAGGGGGGAAGAAAGAGAAAAATGTATGCCATGCATACAGAAACACTTTTGACAAATGAATTATGAATACAGGTAAATGATTAATCATACATACATACATACATGCATGCATACATGTATGCATACATTTTTCAACCTACTCAGACTTTAGAAGTGTATGTGAGAAAAAAAAAGAATGTAAGTTCATGGAATAATGTCTATAGAGATTCTCAATAATCCAGGTCATAATTGTCCCAAAGGTGCTTTTCAAAAGGCAAATGGACTTCGTTTTTTTCTTGAAAACGTTTCTTTTCTCATCCAAGAAGCTTCTTCAATTCAGAACTGAATATATTTCTTTGAGTCAGTTTTTGACTCCTGATGACTAATGATCCCTGAAATTTTCTTGGTGAGGTTTTTGGAAATGGTTTCCCACTGCCTCCTTTCCAGGGTTGAAACAGAGTGACTAATTGATTTGGTGCTTACGGTGGGACTAGAACTCAGTCTCCTGGTTTCTAACCTGATGCCTTAACCCAGTGATGGCGACCCTTTTAGAGACCGAGTGCCCAAAAACCGCCCCCGCCCCCGCTCGGCCCCCACCCTGCCTCTCCGCAGGGCCACTCACCGCCTCCAGGGCCCNTAGAGATCAAATTGCCAACATACGCTGGATCATGGAGAAAGCTAGGGAGTTCCAGAAAAACATCTACTTCTGCTTCATTGACTATGCTAAAGCCTTTGATTGTGTGGATCACAACAAATTGTGGCAAGTTCTTAAAGAGATGGGAGTACCAGACCATCTTATTTGTCTCTTGAGAAATCTATATGCAGGTCAAGAAGCAGCAGTGAGAACTGGACACGGAACCACAGATTGGTTCTAAATTGGGAAAGGAGTCCGGCAAGGCTGTATTCTATCGCCCTGCCTATTTAACCTACAGAGCACATCATGAGAAAGGCAGGGCTAGATGAATCAAAAGTTGGAATTAAGATTGCCGGGAGAAATATCAACAACCTAAGATGTGCAGGTTACCACTCTAATGGCAGAAAGTGAAGAGGAACTAAAGAGCCTCTTGATGCGGGTGAAGAAGGAGAGTGCAAAAGTTGGCTTGAAACTCAACATTAAGAAAACCAAGATCATGGCATCCGGCCCTCAATTCCTGGCAAATAGATGGGAAAGAAATGGAGGTAGTGACAGATTTTATCTTCCTGGGCTCCAAGATCACCACAGATGGGGACTGCAGCCAAGAAATTAAAAGACGCTTGCTCCTGGGGAGGAAAGCTATGGCAAATCTAGACAGCATACTAAAAAGCAGAGACATCACCCTGCCAACAAAAGTACATATAGTCAAGGCCATGGTTTTCCCAGTTGCAATGTATGGCTATGAAAGCTGGACCATAAGAAAGGCTGAGCACAAAAGAATTGAGGCCTTTGAACTATGGTGCTGGAGAAGACTCCTGTGAGTCCCCTGGACTGTAAGGCAATCAAACCGGTCAGTCCTAGAGGAGATCAACCCTGACTGCTCTTTAGAAAGCCAGATCCTGAAGTTGAAACTCAAGTACTTTGGCCACCTAATGAGAAGGAAGGACTAACTGGAGAAGAGCCTAATTCTAGGAAAGATTGAGGACAATAGAAGAACGGGACGACAGAGAATGAGGTGGCTAGATGGAGTCACTGAAGCAGTAGGCGTGAGCTTAAATAGACTCCAGAAGATGGTAGAGGACAGGAAAGCCTGGAGGAACATTATGCATGGGGTCGTGATGGGTCGAACATGACTTCACAACTAACAACAAAAGGCTACATTTGGAATATTGCATCCAGTTTGGGTTGCCAGATATAAAAAAGATGTTGAGACTCTAGAAAGAGTGCAGAGAAGAGTAACAAAGATGATTAGGAAACTGGAGGCTAAAACATATAAAGAATGGTTGCTGGAATTGGGTATGTCTAGTTTAATGAAAAGAAGGACTAGGGGTGACATGATAGGGGGCTGCTACAAAGAAGAGAGAGTCAACCTCTTCTCCAAGCACCTGAAGGCAGGACAAGAAGCAATGAATGGAAAATAATCAAAGAGAGAAGCAATCTAAAACTAAGGAGAAATTTCCTGACAGTTAGAACAATTAATCAGTGGAACAACTTGTCTTCAAAAATTATGAATGCAACACTGGAAGTTTTTAAGAAGAGATTGAACAACAATTTGTCTGAAATAATATAAGGTTTCCTGCTTAAGCAGGGGGTTGGACTAGAACAGGGGTGTCAAACTGCTGGCCCTTAGGCTGGATGCATCATGCCGAAACCATGCCCACCCTATTGCCGGCAATGGAAAAAAAGTTGCGATACGTCGCAACACGTCACATGACGTTGCGACCTCCAAGGTCTCTTCCAACTCTGTTATTCTGTTCTGTTCTATTTCCAGCTCTACTTCCTGAAAGAGCAAATTTATAACAGGGGTTTTTGATCATTAGCTGTCCCTGATTGCTAAGTTGCAGTGGTGACAAGGAGAACATTTATTTTATTTATTTACAAAAAAACAAATAATTAAATTTTATTTATTTATCCTACCTTTATTACTTATTAAGTAACTCAAGGAGGCAAACATTCATAATACTCCCTCCTGCTACTTTTTCTCCACAACAACTCTGTGTGATGTGTTGAGCTGAGTGTGTGTGACTGGCCCATAATCACCCAGCCAGCTAGAATTCAGTCTCCTGGTTTCTAGACCAGAACTTTAATCACTACACCAAATTGGGTCTCCATATTTTGCACAACTGTGTCTTGTGACGCATCCGTGCATGAGCCATCTAGTTACATAAGCCATAGTTATATCTGTTACACTATTCCAGTGTGGCTTAGGTGAGATTATCTTGGAAGATATAACTGATGTAAAATGTGATATTAAGCTATTAAATTTAACTCCCAATGGAGTTAAAATCTGTCCCTTACAGATATATTTTTGACTTTCAATGTATACAGAAAGACCACTTGCT